TAATTACAAAACAGTATATATAAAGTTATATTTATGAAAAACACGCTAAAATCCTGTTTGTGTTTTTTGTTTGTTATATATTGTTTGCTACTGTAATCGCTTTAGCTATTCGTTTACTTATCATTAAATTTTATAATTAATTCAATTAATGAATGATTTTTAGATATATATTGTATTTAATTGTTTGCTTAACTTTGTGTTTGTGTTTAAGATCTCTAGGAATTCGTTTGCCGTTTAGTTGAGAGATGAATATCCTATTAGTGATTAAATCGATGGCTCGTATGGTATAGTATGGGGTATAATGTTATACCGTATTGTATTAGAGCTCCGGGAAGTGTTGGCCGGGAGTCGTGCGGTGGGGTTAATAGTAGGTCTCGAGTTCAATCCAACCGCCGGGGTTTCGGCGCAGTATAAACCTACGCGCCTCGTCGTACACGAAGATTAATAGTGAGAAAGGCAATGCTGGAAACCACCAGCTCAACCTATATTAGAGCAGGGTAAATATGTACATTTATAGGTAATTTACTTTCAATTTACTTTGGGTTAGCGTTTGTGTGTTTGCGTGCTACATTTGTACATACAGTATAAAGTTTATATATGTTACATAATACAGGTGGATTTGTGTAAGTATTAATATTTGTTTCACTATATTATGTAAATCCATTAGGGTAATCATTAGTATTATAAATGAATTTCAAAATTGCCTTTGCTCTCTCTCTCTCTCTCTCTCTCTCTCTCTCGTGTTTCAAATATTGAAATATTTAAATTATATTAATGTATATTTTGTTTGCATTTCCACTCTATTTGAGTTTTGATATTTGCGTTGATATTAAATTTGCTCACAAATTGATTCAAAACTCAATTTATCACAAATCTCTCTCTCTCTCTCTCTCTCTCTCTCTCTCTCTCTTAATGTTTCGCTAATTAAATTTTGTATACTTCGTTATTAATTATAGTATTTCTATATAATTATTAATTTAATAAATGAATAATTCAATAACGAAGACATAATTAACAAATCAAAAACAAAAACCTTTCACAAAATATATAATAAATTGCTTTAATTTCAATTGAGTGGTAAAAGTTTGACAAAAACACATATAAAACTAAAACAATAAATGTCTGGCAACTGAATAGAGTGTATGTTTTGCTCAACAATAAAAACTCTCACAATGGAGACTTGTTCACTCTGAAGCTCAGAACGTAATATTAACCATGTCAAATGATTGTTTAGCTTAAATAAAACAATTTAATGTATAAATTACATTCCAATGGGGGGTCTAAGAGGGTTAAAACGCCCTCTAAAGTTTATGCAGTATGCATACATAGTTTGTCAGACATATAATTGAATTAAAATCCTTTTAAAGATTTCTAAGACTTCTTACACCGACTCTACACTAATATGATTACAACTCCTTAAACATTATCTAAATCTCGTTTCGCGTAATTCCTTATGTTATTTAATATTATATACAAAATGTACAGAATATTCTGCAAATCACTTACTTTAATGGATATAATCTCAAGAGTAGTGGCATTCCTGGACAGTATGAGAGGAACGCTGCCAAACAGGTCTCGAAGAGTAGACCAAAATTTAACACATGATTCCTGGAAATACACCGCAAAACAAATGCACACAATTTATTAGTTAACAAATCATAACATTTTGCGACCGCAATGAGAGGGTCAGCTCCGGGAGGGGGAGAGAGAGTGTGTGTGAAAAATGAGTACTCACTTCATTCCCTGATGCACGATTGAGTTTCGTCTAGTTTTACATATGATGAGATCAGCCCATTGGACAACAACGATGGACACGAAGAAGGCCGTGTGACACGTGTACTCAACCTCTTTGCGCGCTTTGTAGGTCTGGTGCGACAAAACCAATGGTCACGTTATGGTAAACATATAAACTATTGGTTGTTTAATAATAATATTCATATCAGTATTATATTTACCCATTCCTGGCCGTAGGAGTCCTCTAAATCGTTGACCGCCTTTGAGTCCCACTTCTCTCTCAGGCCAAACAGATAGTCGGATTTGAAGCCCGATTCGGCCAGTATTATGAAGTAAGCGTAAAAACCGGCCGCCGCTTGAATCATACCGATCTGGCCGTACGACACAGAGATCAGCCGCTCGTTCACCAGTTTGTCTTTCTTGGGATCTCTCGGCTGGCGTTTCATGATATCGCTCTCCGCCTGTTCGTAGGCCAGCGAAATGGCCGGAACCATATCTGTGCCCAAATCGATGCACAGTATGGTTACGGTTCCCAACGGCAGCGGGACGTTGAATATGATGAAGAATAGAAACGGCGATATTTCTGGTATATTACTAGTCAGTGTGTATGCGATCGACTTTTTCAAGTTATCAAATATAAGCCGTCCTTCTTCTACACCCGTCACTATCGACGCGAAGTTGTCGTCCAATAGTATCATTATTACTAGTCAGTGTGTATGCGATCGACTTTTTCAAGTTATCAAATATAAGCCGTCCTTCTTCTACACCCGTCACTATCGACGCGAAGTTGTCGTCTAATAGTATCATATCTGCCGCCTGTTTGGACACATCGGAGCCGGAGATACCCATCGCCACACCGATGTCCGCCTTCTTCAGCGCCGGCGAGTCGTTGACACCATCGCCAGTGACGGCCACAATAGCTCCCTGTCGTTGACAGCCCTCCACTATAAACAACTTCTGTTGCGGTGACGTCCGGGCGAACACAATCTCGGTGTGAAAGCGGAGTATTTCGTCCAATTGGCTGTCTTTCATATCCTTGAGCTCTTGGCCGTGAACTACGGCCGCTTTGGCGTCGCGCGGGTTCACGTCCTCCATCGGTATACTGAGTCTTAGGGCCAAATCCTCCAGCGTTTCGGTGCCCTCCGATATGATGCCCACGGCTTTGGCGATGGCCTTCGCTGTAATTGGATGATCGCCGGTAACCATAATTACTTTGATGCCAGCGCTGCGACACTTGGCCACGGCGTCGGGCACAGCGGCTCGCGGCGGGTCTATCATCGACACGAGACCCAAAAAGCGGAGACTGTCGAGCGGGAAGTTGCCTTCGTCCGGGTCGAAGGGATAGCCGGGCGGGTACTTCTCGATGGGCAGCTGGTAATCGCAAAACCCTATGACCCGTTCGCCGAGTCCGCCCAACTCGAGGTACGCGGCGTTGAACGCGTCGCGCATGTCTTCGTCGAGCAGCTTCTCCTGGCCGTTGATGAATATGGTTGAGCACCGGTCGAGTATGCGTTCGGGCGCGCCCTTCATGCACAACAGGTAGGAGGCGTCCTGCATGTCGTCCGTCTCGTGTATCGTTAGGTGATATTTGTTGGTCGAGTTGAATGGGATTTCGCAGACCTTCAGATTCTTCCTCCGCATCGCCTCCACGTTTCCGATCGCTATTTCCATACACTTGAGTATAGCCGACTCGGATGCGTCTCCAGCGCACTCCCTGTGTGTATACGTGTCGGTGATCGGCACCCGACGGGCGTATGGGTTATGATATAGAGATTAGCATTTTGTTTGTATACATTATTTTATGCACAAAATATCAAATGAATATTTATAGCAAGAATTGAATTCTCAATCATGATAAGTTTGTATAATTTTTTTTATATATCCCTAATATTTGCCAATATTTATTAATTTTAATAATGTGTTGACTTTTTACTGCTTCTCTCGCCTACTCTTTCTTATAATAAAATATATTTTACTCAATCAATGTCTTAATGAAAACAACAGATATGGGGTTTGAATGAATAACACAATTGTATTTATTATGTTTTTTGTTATCATTTAATTCAATTTGATGTTTGTATAGAAGACGGAGTGATCTGAATATTTGCAAAGTTTTTTGTTTGACTTTTCACTCTATATAACACATTTATGTTTATATATAAGTTATTTATATATGTTGTATAAAATCCTTATAAATTTTCTGTCTTTTATTTATTTAATGGAATAAATTATAGACAAAAATATAATCAAATGTTTTTTTGCAAAAGAGTTTTCGTTTCCAAGAATGACAACAATGTCTCTCAATATTGCAAATAAGAGACAAATAAAACTAATGTAAAACTCATATAAAAACTAATGAAATTAGAAATAACTTCTATGTAATAAAATATTAGCCGATTAATAGTGATTCAGTAAATATATTGATGTTTACTAACGTATATATAATAAGCTTCAATATTGGCAAACATTACAGAATCGTGAAATTATATGTTATTTAATTCATGATAAATTGCGTAATCATTATATAAGCACTTTTGTGACATAAAAGTTTAATGTATTATTAATTTCTATGGATATAGAGTGAAGATATATACAGCGTATTGCTTACCGTTTTAATATAGGGACCGATTCCTGACCGGCTTTGAACTCAGCCCGACTGCATAGACAACACGAACGGCTCAATGCCTTCCAACCCGTCGATGTCTTGTCGTATTGAACGCCTGTATTGTCACACATTTTAATGATTACAGAATTTATACAAAAGAGGTTTTACTAAATGAATGTGTAAAACAATTAATACCGGTTTGGTCTTCGGTGGTGTCGGCTTCGATGATATGGTTGTCAAACCACATGTGCGCGACTGTCATCCGATTCTGTGTCAAAGTTCCCGTTTTGTCCGAACATATGGTGGACGTCGAGCCCAGTGTCTCC